CCCCCCCCCCGAACGGAAATCCTGGGACCGCCACTGCTGTCTACTAGTTGAAGACATTTTTTTCGAATAACCTCACCTCAGGTAGCCCATCTGCTGAATCCTCAGTATTAACTAGGTTCGCTGTGGTAGTTTTGTTCTATCTTCTCGTTGGCTTTCTGCAGTGGGTTTTCCAGGTAAGAAACTTCTTACTTCTTATTCTGCTCGACGACCAATGTCAACCTTTTAAAATTCGCAATGATGCGTAAAGGACTGCATAAACCAAATGTGATGTTTTTAGCTGGTGGTGGTCGAGCGCATGATACAAGATCCATTTCATAATTTCATCGACTTGTGTTCGATTGCAAATATAAGGTGAGTGAGGTATCAAAAAAAGATGATTGATGCCAAATTTTCTATTTTTATTTTTATGCAGGTGTTTGCTTGCTGAGTTTTGAATAGCAAATTTAGCAGACAGGAGATTTCACAGAATAAAGATGTTTTTGATCATCCAAGTGTCAATGTTTTTTGGAAATTTTGGATATGAATTATAGCGTGAAACAATCGATTTACCGAAGGAAATAAAACGGAAATAGATTTTTGCTCTGAAAGCAAGCTTTATGTTACTTAAAGCACGTAAAAATCATTTTTGCGAACAACTCAATATTCCAAAACAGTAATTGGACGATCCTCCAAAAATCAACAAAGCTTACTTTTCAAAACTCTCTTCATCCGTTTCTGTGTTCTTCGCTCGATTAATTCTGTTGGAGACATCACATTTTTTCCTGAACCTGTGAATTAGAACGAAATTTGGTAATGGAAAATCTATGGCTGTCAGAAAATAAGAGGGGGCAAAGAATCATTTTGATCAAAGCCTTATTTTAGCCAGGCTCATTCAAAAACGACCATTTGTACACATCGTCATGGGGAAACTTATTTTTGGCGAACCGCAGGGGCGTACTTCTGTGTACTCTTTCCTAATTTAGTATTGTAGCCTCTTAATTCTTGTAACAATGCAACTGGTCGCAAACATGTGGTCCTCCAATTCAATGGAGAAAAACTGAGCATTTGCTTTGATGAAAAGAGACAAAAAATCCACATACGTACTGCAATTCCAACTCATGTTGTAGAAACAAAGAAAGATTTTCTTCCCAGCATTTGCAAAGTAACTTAGAACCAAAAAATTTTAGCGTTCTTGCTCTCACACATCCTTTGCATGGTTACTACATTCATGGTCGATCGGTACACGGTCGAGCTGACACTGGTATGGCTGAAATGAATGAGTTTCTTCAGAAAGAACGTGTAAGTGTTTCGCACTTCAGTCTCTTATATGTATCAAAATTCTATATTCAGGATGATCTGTGTGGTTTCCGCGGACTTGAACCAACTTCTCACCTGCAAACATTTACAGTTTGTCTACCTACAGCATTTCGTACTCGCTACGATGAAATCATGACCAGTCAAAGAAATGCAACCACTCAGACAAGGCTTACCGGTCTGGATCAGACGACAGCTAAGGTATAAGCTGATAGTTTGAAGAGGGAGGAGGGTAATATAGTGTTTTGCGTCGCCGACAACATT